AAAAAAAAAAAACAAAATGATATCCGAGAGAGAGAAAAAAATAACACCAATTAAAATTTTTTGTCACTAAAATTTCAAACTATCAGAATTAGAAATTATCAGTTATGAATTAGTAAATTATTATTTATTGTTTAAAAAATTTCAAACTATCACGATTAATTAATTATTGATTGTTAATTAGTAATTATCGTTATTCAAATTATTTTTAATCTTTAATTGCAAAATGACAAACATTGGTAGGATAATTAGTAATGTGAAAAAGGAAGATATAAACTAGGCTAGTTCTTTCAGGGAAATGGAATGAAGATCCGCATTTAATTCCGCTTATCTATTAATAATTGATCGAGTCATTTATTATTCTCTCTTTCCCTTTTTTTTTTTCTTCTCTCTCTCTCTTTCCTTCTCCCTCTTTTTTTCTTTCACTAGCATCATATTGTGGAATGAATTTCAAAAGTTGTGATTACCTTATTAAAGAATTTCATTAATATTCTCATTTTATTAAAATATCTGTCTAAAATTTCCGGATGAAATATTGTTAGAATAAAGAAATATAACTTATTTTAGTAATTAAAAAAAAAAAAATTAGTCAACAAACATTGTTGACAATTTTTTAAAATATGAAATTTAAAAGGAGAAAAGAAAAAAAGTTTCTAACAAGTTTTATTATATGAGAATGAATGTATTTGTTTTATGTGATATGGATAGAAGCTTTAAGATAAATCAAAATTCTTGCATTAAATGATAGAATGAAAAAAAGAAAAACAAGTTATAAAACTTTTTCTTCTTATCTTTTTCATTTTATTTGTTAAATTAGCTTCATTAAAGCATCAAACGATTTTACCGCCAATTAACAATCATTACAAACACTTTTACAATTTCATCATTTTTCTCTTTTTCTTTTTTTTTTTTTTTAAATCTTACCTTTAGCTACTAAAAATTTGTTGAAATTTGAAACTTTTAAATGAATGAAAATGATGCATTTTTGCTATAACTAACATTTTAATGTAAAATAAATGTGATAATTTATTTAAAAATTTTGTTGAATTTTATCATTTGAAAATTGATTAATCTTTAAACATTCAAATGATTATCTTTTTTTTTTTTTCCCCAAACAAATGTTGCATTTTGGGAAAATGTTAAATGATAGGAAAATAGCGATGAAATAAATGATAATGGTTTGAAGCGCTAAAATTGATGTATTTGCGCTAAATTGGACGCATTTATATTATAAAGCTGTTAGAAGAATGTTACAAGTAATGGCCATATTTCAACTTGTCCCACTTATTACTTTACATTTATGGGCTCTTTTTTTTTCAAGCCAAAAGAGCTAAAGAAAAAAAGAAAAGAAAAAAAAAAGGCTGAAAAAGTATTGAAATATGAGAAAACGGAAAATGTTATAAGGCTATTAGAAGAATGAAACGAAACGAGTAATAGCTATGATAGCATAGAAAGGATAATAGTATAACAATTTTCATTAACAAATAGATCCAGGAAAAAAGATTATATCATTTTGATTGATTACTCTATTGTGGTATTTCAATTTGTTAGTTATTGCATATTCATCATTTGCTATTACGAATTTTTGGCATATTTTTCATCCTGAATTATTTTTGTTTATGTTACAATTATTCAAATTTTAACAATGAAACCAGGATAAATTAGGAATCGGAATAAAATACAATAACTAAATTATTCCGGTGAATTTTGTTTTATTTCAGGAAATTAACAAATATTGTTAAATGTTAAAAATTTAAATAAGAATGATTAATTCGAATAGCAAACATTAACAGACATTATCCCGGATCATTTCATACGATCCAAAATGAATGCTTAGCATCGTATATATCGTAGCTAAAAAGCATTGTATTAATTGATAATTTGTGAATGTATGAAAAAATGGATGCAAAGTTATATGTGAAATATGAGATACAGTATCATATTTATTATTTACACGTGAATACGACCTGATTCATAGTATCAATTTTGTATTATGATTGAATAACACGTAATGGTATGGTGATGTTTTACGTCTGGTTACAATCAATTTTTAATACTCTCTACCATCTGTTTGTAATATTTTTTGACATTTAATATATTTAATATTTCCTATTATTGAGTTATTTTTAATAATTCCAATTTCGAACAGTCAAGATTGATACTTTCCTAATTTTGTTGAAGTCAGATTTTGCGACAAAAGATACAATTATTGGGAAAAAAAAAAGTCTGAATAATTTGATTTATAGCTGTAGAAGTGTACAAGTGTTTTGAAGTGATTATTGTACTTCGGTGTTATGGTATTGTCTATGTTGGGTTGCTCAAGTTTGTGAAGTGCATGTAGTGTAGCAGGGATGTTGAAGGAGAAGTTAGGGGAAGGTTACTTTTGTTTAAGGCATGCTTTTCCGGTCACCAATTCCGGCTGGCCGTGTTTTTACAGTGAATACTCAGGAAGAGTGTATATGAATGGTACTTTTGCGGAGGAATTCTTCAGAGATAAATTTTAGTTCTCATCGTTGTCATTTTGTTATTTTATTGCATGAAGTGGTTTTTTTTTTTATTGTCTATAATGAAAATCATTTTCTGAATCGCTCCACTTGAAGCTGTTTTTTTAATTTAAATTTTTCCGAACAAAAAAGTATGTTCGGTTTTACACAACTGGTTTTTTTTTCCATTTTCTTTTTCAGAAGTTTGAATTTCAGGATAAATCCGTGTCGAATTATTGCTAATAGCTCTCTGTCCTCTCCCTCTTCTTTCTCCCTGTTTCCCTTGTTTCATCTTTCAGTTCAAAGAGCTGAAATATTTTATGTATGGGGTAGTTCCATTTAAGGTTGTGTTTCTTTAAAATATAATTTCAGATTTTTCAAAAAGAACAGCTTAAATAGAATTAAGCAAGAGGTATTTCATAGCTCGGAAATTGCCTCCTGAAATGCTATTACGTTTGCTTCTTGAAGTCTCTCTCATGGTTGTTGTTGCACAAAACACCAGCTTCATCTACAATTATCTTTTTTTTTTTTTTT